CAGGCTCCGCGGCGCAGCTCGGGAAGGAATCGTCGCCCCCAGCCGACTGAGATTCCGCCGAAGCCGGCGCCGCCGCCCGGGATCTGCTCGCTGTGTTTTCCGCTTTCTCCATCCTTTCTTTAAAAAAAAAAAACAAAAAAAAACCACAACAAAACCAGCCAGCCAGCCAACCAAGAATCCGGTTTGTTGATCGCCTTTTTTTTTCACCGTTTGCGGGATTTGCAAACCGAGTTACATGCATGTCCAGTGGGGGTAGGTTTAATTTTGACGATGGAGGGTCCTACTGTGGAGGCTGGGCGGACGGCAAGGCGCACGGCCATGGCGTCTGCACCGGCCCCAAGGGCCAAGGCGAATACACCGGCTCGTGGAGCCACGGCTTCGAGGTGCTGGGCGTCTACACCTGGCCCAGCGGGAACACGTACCAGGGCACCTGGGCGCAGGGCAAGCGCCACGGCATCGGCCTGGAGAGCAAGGGGAAGTGGGTGTACAGGGGCGAGTGGACGCACGGATTTAAGGGACGCTACGGGGTGCGGGAGTGCACGGGCACCGGGGCCAAGTACGAAGGGACCTGGAGCAACGGGCTGCAGGACGGCTACGGCACGGAGACCTACTCGGATGGAGGTGGGTGCCGCGCGCGGCCGGGCCAGGCGGGGAGGGGACCTTCTCTCGCCTCTTCTGTTTATCTCTGGGGAAGTTGAGCTGCTTCATCCAGCGGGCCCTGGGCACCTGGGGCTCCCGGGAGGCCACAGCGGCCCTGGCTACAGGTTGCCTGGTGGGGGACAGCGCCCCTGTGCCAGCTAAAGGGGTCGAGGGCTTTCCAGGAGCAGAGCCAGGCCCCGGGAGCTGCGGAGAGGAGCAGAGAGCCAGTGCATCATCCAGGAGCGGGCCGGAGACCTGCGGGAAGGGCCGGCCTAGGCCCAGGGCCTCCTCTGGGACCTCCCAAGGGGCGCGGGGGGCTAGGGGAGGACCCCCTCCCCGTGTTGGCAGAGCTCCCTCGGCGCCGCCCTCCGGGAGTCGGGCCCCACTCTGCTGCTTGTTTTCCTGCGGTGCTGAAGGGCCTCCTTTAGTCCTGATCGAACCAAGCCAACGGAAAGGGAGTGGCTGGGCGCGCTGGAGGCGGGGGTACCGAACCCACACCGCCCCAACGAGGCAATGAACTTCTAGGTGGTTGGACGCGGGCTAGTGCTGTGGGGGCCGGCTGCCGGAGGCAGGGAGGGAGGGAGGCCCATCTGTTTAGCGAGAGCCCAGGAATCTCGCCTCTCAGTGGCTGAATCATTTCCACCATTAGTTTAGGGGATGCTCTGTGCCTTCATGCTAGATGCCACCACATTCAGGGCTGAGCCGGTGGAAGCCAGAGAGCCGTCTGCCCGCCACTGCTGTGGCTGGCTCTGTGGCTGTGACCTGTCCCAGACACTCCGGTACCCACTCCTCCATGCACCTGAGAGGCATGCAACATTTACTGTTCTTGGAAGCCAGACCCCAAAGACACCTGCTCTCAGATGCCCCCTCCCCCATCCTAGAGTTCATCCTTAGAAATGGCTCTGGAGGCTTGGGCGCCTGGGAAAGGCGTGAGGCACAGCATGACTTGCGTGCTGCTAGGCATGGAAATCACGAGTGTACATGTGGTCTTCCGCTGCCTGCCTCTGAGTCTCATGAAGCAAGCGCTAAGCACCTGCTCCCTGGGCACGTCCAGGACTGGTGGGGGGCTGGAGAGTAATTATTATTTTGGCTTATGCAACGGAGAGGCAGGGTTCATTATTACTCGAAGAGGAGGAGGCATAGGGGGCAGTTAATTACATAACACGCCTGCCTGTCACAGCAGTGCCCAGCCCTGGTCCCAGGCGGCCTCTTCTGGGCTGTTGTTGTTTTCATGGAGCAGGTTGGAGAGCTTCCGTGACCCTGGGGCTCCAGGGCCAGGCTAGCAAACTGCCTTCTCTGGGTTCTGGGCTGTGGGCGTGCATGCGTGTGTGTGTGTGTGTGTGTGTGTGTGTGTGTGGGCATGGTGAGGCCTAGGCAGCAGATGTGGGTGGCTGCGGTGGGCGGCTGAGCAGTCTGGCGCTCCCAGCTGGGCTCTTTAGGAGCCCAGGGCTATTGCCACCCTGTGGGCTGTGGCCAGGCTGCTCTACAGACCAGCCACTCCAGAGGTAGTGCCAGCTGTGCCAGAGCCAGGAAAGTGGCTTTGCGCCCTGACAGGCTGGCCTCCTGCAGGAGCCCGGGGAGAAGGAGAGCCAGGCCCCCGTGGACTCCCCAGAACAGCTGAGCGTGGGGTCTAGTATGCCAGTCTGCCCATCTTCTCCTGACATCTCCGGGGGCCCAGGGAATTCTGTCCCCCATTCAACAAATGTCTACTGAATCCCTATGATGAGCAGGTGCTCTGGGCTCTGGGTAAACAGCAGTGAGCAAGGTCCTCCTGGGGCTTCCATTTTGGAGAAAAGGGTGGTAAATTTTGTCGTGATTACTCGGGGAAGATCTGGTTCTGTGGCTGGCTGTGGTCTAGGTCTGATGTGTTGATGTGAGAAACGCTTCTTTCCCTGGCTCAGTGTCCTTGGGTCTCTGTCCCCGGCCGGCCAGTCACAGTGTCCCACTCCCTAAGCTGCCCCCTCTGCATCAGCCTGCCGGAGTCTCACAGGCTGGGGGGAGGGGGCATGTCCATGTTACAGGTGGGACCAGAGAAGCCCGGCAGCGCCAGTGACAGGCCAGAGCCCCCAGCTCTTGGCGGAGGAGTCAAGGATTTGAACTCCGATCTGTCTGGGGTGGAGCCCCCTCTCCTCGCATCGTACCACCTGTGTGCCGACGGAGGCGGGCGCACAGATGCAGGGCACCAGCTGCTCCCTTTTGTTGATGACATGGCATGGCAGAAAACGGAACTGACCCTCCTGGCCTGGGATAATCAGGCCCAGACATCTGGGGTCACTTTTCTGGCAGGTGGTGACTGTGAAAAAGTGCGTGCCCTCCAGCAGTACACCCGGTGAGCCGAGCTGGAATCCCCCCGGCACAGAGCGGGGGGCCTCTTCTCATCAGCTTGGGGCAGGGATGGGTCTTGCTTCAGAGAGAGCCAGCGGGGCCCGAATGGTCCTGACGCCAGTCCAACTTTTCCTTTGCACAAGGACGGGAATATTGGGCAGGAATCAGCAAAGCTCCCAATTTCAGCCCCGCTGGCTGGCAATGCTGACTTGGGGAAATGGCGATTTTCATGAATAATGCACAAACGGCAAATGCAGTCTACATTTCGCTGGAGTTGGCCTGGAATCCATTTCAGCTGGGGGCGCTTTTGCCAGCTCCCCTACCAGGTCCATCCTCCCCCACGCACAAGGCGGGCACTGCTCACTGAAGTGAGCTGAGCATCTTCCACAGGCTTCCGCAGTGTGTGGGGTGACCCCATGGAGACGGGGAGGCTCAGGGGCATGGGGGGCAGGAGTACATGCTGCACAATTGACAGTCCTTAGGCTTGAATCCTGGCTGAGCCTTTGCTCTGTGATCTTGGGCAAGTTAGCTAACTTCTCTGAGCGTCTGTTTCTTCATCTGTCCAAAGGGCTGCTGATAAAATCTGTAAAGTATTAAGCTGGGTTTAATTGAGATGGTGTACATGGCTATGCATATGTGATGGTAAGGAATATGGTAAGCATTCATTATTATTTATCACTATTTTGTTATTACAGTTCACATGCAATTAATGTCACTCACAATCGTCATCGTTAGAGCCAATAGCCAGACATGACAGCGGCGATGAAAACGATAACAAATCGCCCTATAAAGCACTCACTGTGTGCCAGGCATTTGGCAAATGGTTTGCATGACTCCCAGCCCTTCATCCCTACGCCTCTAGAGGGCTGCTTTCCTCACCGCTCCCATTCCCCGCGCTGGGAATTGGAGGCTCAGAGAGGCCAGGTGACTTGGCTGATGAGCTTCGAGCCACACCGGAATTCAGGCTCGGCACAGTGATCTCAGAGGCTGTGCTTGTGCCTGGAACATCTCTCTGAACTCCCTGGTGCCAGCCTGCCCGCCGCTGCATCCTCTTCTCTCCTGGGAGCAGCACCCGGAGTTGTAGGCAAGCGCATACGCCCAGGCACACCCTCCCCAGTCCTGCCAAGACGCCAGGGCTCTTCTCCACTGGGTGCACTCCTGCACTTGGTTGCACAGATAAATATTTCCTCCTGGGTGCACGTACACAGGACCCCCTGGACCAAACGGTACCCCCACAAATAAACCTTCCCACAGCCTGAAAGACATGAGTCACATTTCACACACCCAGCCTCTCCCCCTCATATACAGATTCCGTTCACCGGCCCAGATCCCTCAGCCCACACGAATCACACACGCCCACAGTCAGAATTCAGATCCCCTGGCGCCTGCGCAGCACACACACGCACGATACACCTGTCACCCAGAGATGGCTTCTACCCTGTCCCCCAAAACACAGCCACGTGCAGCCTCCCAGCCTTGTCTGCATGCCAGGTGCTCCAAATCCCTACAGGTTCCTGCTCCGCGGAGGCAGTTACCCCTACAGAGGAAGAGCGCGGGCCTGGGGGTGGGGAAGCAGCTCGGGTTACAGATGCGCGGTGGGCTTCGCTCCCACTTTAAACACGTTTACGCAGTTAATGCCCCTTTTAAGGGGGAAAACCCTCACCTGACCGAAATAACCATCCGCTGGGTGTATTTTTGGTACTTGACCGTGTGTGTGTGAAAGTAAGCTCTCTCAAAAGAAGTACAGGTGCCCAGGGCGGGCAGAAGCGGGCCCATCGGCCGGACATGCGCCTGGGGGGACGCATTTCAGGAACGAAAGAAGCGCTGGGCTTTCCGGGTGAAAGCGCCTCCTCTGGGATTTTCTCTCAGCCACTTTGGGGAGAGCTAAGGCTCTGCGAGGGAGAGGCCGGCAACTGGCTCTTTTGTTGCCAATAATAGCTGAGAAGGAAGTGTTGCCCGAGACCCCCTCACCCAGCACAGCCCTGGGGCGATCCGCCGGGCTTTATATTAGGGAGCCTGCCAGGAACTGGGGAGGAAATGAGGGTCAACACCCTCTGAAAATAGAGTGGCCCCAGCTGAGGTACCAGCCAGCGCTGCTGGCCGAGGAAAGAGGACTGTGGCCAGCTTCTCCGAGGACACCAGGCTGGGGAGAGGGTCCCAGAAAGGTAAAGAGTGAGGGTGGCTAACCCTGGGGGAGGGCCATGACCTCTGCTATTTTTCTTTAAGACTTTCTTTCTCAGTTTCCCCCAGGCATCCCCCGACTCTAAAGATAACACTATCAACCCCGAGCTGATAACTGTGTATAACACTCACTCTGTCCTTAAATGACCACAGGCTGTCTAGAAGAGGGTGGTTCTCCTGGGGAATTCACACGAGGTCCATCCCTCTTGGATTAGCTGCCTCTCCAATTTGTAGCTTCCTGGCTGCGTGGTAGGTGAAGGGGGGCGCGGCACGGGGTCCTGGCTTTGCCATCAGGCGTGTGGGCTAGACCGCGGGTTCTCGTGGGCCCTCGTGATCAGGGAGAGGAGCAGTGTCTGCAGCACCACGGACAGCACCCACCCTCCCGGCCTGGGCCACCCGCTCCCCTTCGCTCCCCTCCAGGCCGCCTCTTCCAGCCTGGCCCTGACCCCTCCAGGCGGGTGCTTGCCTGCTCCCAT